TCATCCTGCACTGCAGCAGCTAATAAAGTCCATTTAATCCCAGAAACGCTTTTCTTTTAGGCAAGCTGGAGCAGAAAACAACTCACCTTTCTCAAGTTGTACAGTAATGTCACATGTGTATGAAGGTGGATCAAACAAGCTAATCTTAAATGTCAAAGTAGAGAGGAGCCTAGTAGGCCTATTTATTTTCATTCATTACACAATATGAATAAGCTATGCAGACAGTTGTAAAGAAAGAACATCTTTTTCTTCTGTTCTCTACTTGTTATAGTTACACAGTATTAGGGGTGTGGGCTGTATTAAAAGTACCCACTGTTCTCACATGCTCTAACACACAGTAACGATGAAATGTGTGCTGTTCTCACATTCTTCCTCTGTATGTACACATAAACAACAAGGCAGGGAAATATAAAAGGAATTTATTTTATTGTTTGGGTACATTATTGTTCAGTGTACATGCTCACATCTGAAACAAACTTTACGTGCTTGATAACTCTCCCACCCCGCAGACATCTACACGCCAATACCGATTTATATTCATAGCGGCAAGTGCTATGTAGCTCCACATAGGGGACACAGGAAGTGACATATAACACCTTCATGCGGCGTCGGAACCGCGTAGGAAATTCACAGCCGCACCGGCAGAGCTCCAGAATATGCAACTCGGCCAGCTCACACGCGGACGCGCTTACAAGTGCGAGGGCCCGCCCAACGCTGCTTGCAGCTTTAATTGGTGTATGGTCTTTGTTAATTTTGGCTTCCTTGGCGGAGAGACCGACCGCCCCTAATTCTTCATCGATGTCGATATCATCACGTGCCTCGTGGAGCATCTCCAAGTTGTAGTTGTGGTCCGACATTGTTGCAAACAGAACAAGGAACAAGATCCCAAAATGTTTTGGTATCCTACTTTTGTCACATCAGTACTGACACTTACTCGAGCAGCCTTGAAATCGAGGGTTATTGCATTGGTTAATCACATTTCAAGGACTAATTAAGGAATTTTAATCGGACCCTGCCAAAATGTTGCCACTCACTCCGCCATCTTGAAACCCCCCTCTGTGGATATCCGGTCAGTGATTGTTTCCTCTGGCGGGATGAAGTCTGACGCTCTGCATGATCCACGATAAGATTAATGTCAATAAAGCATGCTGTCAATATTTTAGAGACCCCCCAATATATCACAAATCATGCTTTTAGGGGAGCTGATGTCTGATTAGTTTTAGAATTTCCTCAGGGAAATGAAAATAAGCGTCCATAGGTTTATGAATGCGGAAACGCGCACACACACTGCAGCACGTGCCTTATTGTGAGCATGTGCAAAAGTGTCCTTATAATCAAGTAACAAGGAAGGAAAAATATACGCAGTTAATTGGAAGTGATCTTCCAATCTTCCTAACGGGAGTCTCGCACAGTACTGAGCTAAACATTGAAAACAAATTGGCCCGATGCCAAACTTATTTTCGGACCCCTTATATAGTGTTTATTATTTCATTTCAAGTCTTTTTTGAGTCCTTTCACATTAAACCTGGCATTTGTTTAAAAATTCAGCCAACAGTGTATGACTACTGTTTTATTGGACGCAGATTACAAGAGTAAGTTAAACTTTAAACTAGAAATTAGAGATAATAATGCAGACTGTATTTTATGATAGTGTCTTTGGTTGTGGTTCAGCATTGTGTGGGTCTGCTCACAGCTTCCTTTGTCAGTCACCTCCCATCTCTACAGTTATGTGTAACAACATGACTTGACTATTTACTGTTTAGATTGCACACAGGGGTCAGTACGTAATCCCTTTTTGCAATCACTCTGACCAATACTGTTGTGTGTGGTGCCTCTCTGTGGCTGCTGCTGGAACTACACTCAGCATCTGATCTGGGGCTCAGGAGGTAGAGCGGGTTGGCCGTTAATCGGAAGGTCGGCGGTTCAATCCCTGGCTCCCCCTAGTTGCGTGTTGAAGTGTCCTTGGGCAAGATACTGAACCCCGAATTGCCCCTGGCGGCTATTCCCCCAGTGTATGAATGAGTGTGAATGTTAGTTTCCACTTAGGTGTGTATGAATGTGTGTGACTGGTGAATGCAGATGTAGTGTAAAAGCGCTTTGAGTGGTCGAAAAGACTAGAAAGGCGCTATACAAGTACGGAGCATTTACATCTGGCAGATGAATGGCAAATCCTCACAGCAGCTTCAGCATGGTTTTACCCTTGGAAATTTAAATCATAACCACACATAATTTCTTCATAAAATAAACTACCAAGAATATAGATATAGTTAAAACAATTTAAGATCCATTGATATTACTGCTTGAAACTTCTTTTTATTAAGTGGTACAAGGACACATGACAAATGTCATAGCACTGAGTTGCCCTCAACACATCATCGGAGGTGACCTCCCCATCAAATGGATCCCCAAATTGAGAGGCAAAAACTTGAACCTCTGGACTATGCCCCTAGTAAAGTAGGTTATAGATCATTCATATATATAAATGTTTAAACTGAACATTATTAGAAAGATGCTATCATCTATTCTTTGTTATATTGAGCTTCAATATAATGCTACTATTACAAACCAAAAATCTAAACAATGTTGATCTCTTGATAAATATGTTGATAGATTATTATTAGAGTATTTAACATTGTGACAACTTCTCATTTGTAAACACTGAAGATATTGAAAGCATGAGCAATTGGCTCTTGGTGGGAATTGAACTCTGGTCCCCAGAATGAAAAGGCTATTGGACTATAATGCAAAAGACATATTATATAATCTATATCTATCTATCTATATATATATATATATATAGATAGATATAGATATTTAAACTGACCACAAACAAACATATATTTTTATGTTGTTTCTAAGCCCGACACTATTTTAATTGGTCTCTCTAACTCCTCCATGACAAGCTACCCTGCTGGCTAGAAACAATGAAGTTTGTATTTGACAAAGATATCAAATGTTAGACAACAGAATGATGATCAAAAAAAGACAGATTTAAATTCATAGATATTAATGGTTATGACAGTATGAGAAAATACTGTAGATGAAAAAAATTACTTTCATAGCTCAAAAATGACTCTTGGCTGAAAAACTTTGACAAGAATGTCTCATCGGCTTGTCCTTCGGCAGGCAGAGAGGGATGGTCACAGAGCGCGTTCATGATAAGTTTCATGGTTCTGTCTTGTTTCTGATTGGTGCAATTTGAGATGTTACAATTGCCCCCAGTCTCCCCTATCTCTTTCAATTGTAAAACTGAACAGGAACCAGCTGAATGCAGGGCTGTAGACAGTATTATGGACTTGGTAATAGTAGCTGCAACCCTAACTGATGTCTTATGAATATGTATTACATTTATTCTGGAGCAGCGATTCCCAAAGTGTGGTGCGCGCACCCCTGGAGGTGTGTGAGGTGCCTCTTGGGGGTGTGCGACAGGAAAAATGTAATGGTGGTGTAGTAGTGTAATAAATATAACAATTATTTGTTTTGTGGAATTTTTCATGAAATAAAAACCTGAATTGAAAACTTTCCTTTGTAAATTTAAATTTTAAATTAAAAACGTTATTATTATTAGTTAGCTCACAGGAAATGGATTCTCACACACCTCTTTCCCTCTCCCTCTCTTTCAGGCTGAGTGACCCGTGCTGTACTTACAAATTCTCATATGGATCCTCTTTTTTGTCCATGTTATCTGTTTATCAGGCTATGACAGGGTGCGATTTGTAAAAAAATAGAGGGGGGGGGGGGTTGAAACGTATTGTTTGTTAATACCCTCCCACCTCCCTAAGCATGGTTCGGCACGCAGGTGGAGTGTGGACTGATTGCAAAGTTTAACCATTACAGTATGAGAAAAGGTTTCACTGTCACCGTTACTTTTTAAAGTAATAAATATATACCAATCAGATAGTGTTGTGGAGGGACATTGAGCAAATAAATAAGTAAATTAAAATAAAAATATATATATACATATGTGTGTGTGTGTGTGTGTGTGTGTGTTTAAATTTTTTTTTTATATATATATGTATATATATATATATATATATATATATATATATATATATGTAAACCTATAGAGAGAAGGGGTTTGGGGGTGCAGCAACCCGGTCAAGATGTAGAAGGGGGAGCGTTGCCTAAAAAGTTTGGGAACCGCTGCTCTGGAGGATCTTAGGCTCAAGGATCCCAGTTCTGTAGGCTGAGATAATGCCCCAAAATGCTTAAGATGAAGATGCAGCGGAGCCACAAAGCCAGTGACAAGAAGCTTTTGATGTCTGGGGGACTACAATTATAAATCGTCAGGCTGCCTTAGTAGGGGAGACCGGGTGTGGTTGTAACATGGGGAGAGTTGTAACAACAGTAATTCCACCAATTAGATAGGAGTCATGTGATCATTTCAGTATTTACCTACTTCCCCCCCAATCAGGCATGCTGTTTGTCAAGTCTGGAAACAGGTATGTTCAGAATATATAGAGAAAAAAAAGATTTTGAGGTAAAAAAAGTAATTTTTTTGACCAAGACTGTATTTTGTTTAGTATCTATCCTACCCCGGTAGTGGGGTAGTTTGTAACAAGGGAACACAATGCATTTGACATCAATTCATGAGGTCTGTGATATTCTTGTAGAGGACTGAATTGGTGCCATTTGTAGTGAACAAATGTGGGTACTTTGTATAAAATGTTGAGAACTCTAGATACAAAATTCAGTGAATTATAGTTGCTGAAGCAAACGTTGTTACAACCATACCCGGTCTCCCCTACCCTTACAGCTTAAATTTATATCTTTGAGGACCCTTGAAAGTAACCACATTACTATAAATCACTCTCACTCACTGACTGGTAATGACGAAGTTTTGCTAAAGGGAAGAAATGATTTGGACATGAATGCTGTCAGAATATATTTTATTTCTAACAACAAATTCAGATTATACAAGAAAAGGATTCAGGTGACACTCTGATTATAGAGATCATTTGGTAATGCCCTCTCTCTTCTGGTAAGTGCTGATTTTTTTTCTTTGATTGGGACATCATGGAGTGATGAGAAGAGATGTTCTCTCCTGTAATGAAACAGAGAGACATTTAGCTCAGATTTTCCAAACAGAAACTAAGAGTTTACAGTTTGCTTTAGAGTTTACAGTAAATTATTATTAACCTAACTTAGAATTATGTGAATGATCTAATGTAACTCACTTCCATGAATCCAGGCATGTTCTTTGTGATCAACACCTCATCACTCTCCTGCCGTCTCTTCCTCACCCTCCAGGCATTCACTACGATCAGCATGAACACCACCAACATGGCTGCTGCCGCAGACCCTGCCATCGCTATGACCACTGTGGGGTTATTAGCAGCTCCTTGTGGAGCACCTTGGTCTGCAGCCTTCATCAGACTGGAATCAGCATGGACTGCAGAGCGGGGAAGAGGCTGAGATACCAGTAGACCTGATATGTCTGAGGACAAAGTAGACGACAGCTGTGATGGAGATCTTGGATATACAGTATAGCTGTGTGTGATATTTTGGTCCTGTCTCGTTGTCTAATTAGTGTCTGAAAGACTCCACACCTTCCAGACTGAAGAGGAAGAAGGCATCGTCTCCTTTGATGAAGTTCCTGCTCTTTAGCCTGCTGTGGGTGATGAAGGCAGTTGTTCCAGAGCCTGGTCCTCGATAGTAAAAGCTGCCATCAGACTCATCAGTCACTTTAGAGCCGACCTTCCTGGGATTGTCCCAGTAGTACTCAGTGCCTGAGAGAAACAGGTGAACTTTCATTCCCTGTTTGACAAACACAACTCACTAAAATCCATTCAGAATGAGTGGATAGTCAAGCTTGCTACACTTCAAGTTATCCACCGTACTCTTACCATTAGAGGAAATCTCGTCAGGGTCAGTGGTGACCATTAGATGCACGTTCATTTGCTGTCTGATGTCAGACTGCTGATCCATCAGGACCATAGTTGCCTGCTGCCACGGACACGGCCACTCGAGGTCGCTGTCATTTGGGCCTGAGGTCAGGTAGAAGTAGACGGCCACGGACCCTGGATCGTCCTCTGTTCCGTTTAGGTACACACCCACCTACAGATCACAGAGCAGTATGAAAATATGTGCTACTTTTAAAATCACACCAATTAACTCAGAACGCAGAAGAAAGATGTGCAAGCGTTTGATGGTAATGTAAATTAATTGACAATTGGCCTATATCAGTGGCAAAATAAGTGTTTCACTTCAGTAAAAGTGTAAAATACACTGTTACAAGTAAAATTTCTGCATTCACAATTTAAGAACTTCTTCTTTACTTGCTTAAGTAAAGTACGTAAGTAGAATCAAAATTTACTATCAAAAATTAAAGTACTCTTTATACAGAAAGGCAAAATTATATTACTGGATTATAATTAGTGATGCATTAATGTGTAAGCATTACTAATGTTGCAGCTGGTAAAGGCTAATATCAGTTACTTTATACTGCTGGGTAATCTATAACAATTTATTACAAAAGACTGGCTCAAGCACAACAGAGACTCCAAACCAAACTCCACTTATAGATTTAGAAAACAACAACACAGTTGTATGCGCTGAAGCCCGGAATTTTCTGTTGCAAAATACTATAGTTGTATGGCTTGTTCAATGTTTCCCCTAGGATTTTTTTCAGGGAGGGTGAAAAACGTCTAGTGTGGCGGAGCGGGCGTGTTACAGACATGTGGTGTTATCATAGACATGGTGCACACATTTTTGCCTGTTTAGGTTTGTCACCTTGTCCTTTTTGCCAGATTCCCTTTTATTTTTTTCCCAGATTGTGTTTTCAGTGTTAATATTTCTGAATTCTGTGTTTTGAAATTTAAGCATATTTTGTAATCAGAAAAAGGGTTTAATCATGTGATTTGGTTTTAATTTCAACAAGTCAATAAGAAATTTTACAAATTAAATCAATATTAATGAATTAATGTATCATGCAAATATGCATCTAGAAATATTCAAAGACATGTGCAATTATTTATGGAGACAATTCACAAGAAATGTCTTGCAACAGCAGGATGTTAAAATACTATAATCCTATTTAATATGGGGGAATACACAATGAATGCATTTTTGCAGTACATGTATGTGTATGTATGTCCCTTATTACTTGACAGCCTCCATTTGCTACTAAACACGGTATAAGTGGGTCTGACGGAGGCTCTTCTCACGTGGGCAACGCTCCACCTTGTTTACAAAGCTTGACCGGACGTAACTTTTTCATTTTTTCTAACAAAATATCTGTCTCCGCCCACACAGGGGACAGTGATTCTTACTGCTGAATCATTAATAGATGCTTGCATGTAGGCCTGTGGATGACCAGTCAATGGGGCTGACTGTGACAGGATGAGGCATGTTTGTCTCATTATAATAATAATTAGGCCTATCATTATTATCGTAGCCATTTTACTGCAATTACGCTTCTCAGCTGCAGCTGACCTTTCTTTTCTCCGCGAGAGGGAAGAATTTAGAAATTTGCGTGGCGCTGCGGGGAGCCCCCAGCTGCAGTAGTGCATGGATCAGGCATAATATTCATCCAGCCAGAGGGAGCGATCCTGAACCGTTCACAGCGTGACGGTCGTACTAGCGACACAACCCGTTCCCTCTGGCTGGACACTATACATGATCCATGATGATAGAGAAATATAGAGATTAATGGTAATAAAGCATGCTGTCAATATCACAAATCATGCTTTTAGGGGAGCTGATGTCTTATTAACGGTAGCTAAGCTCCCTCGGGCTCCCCTGTAGTTGTAATGAGCTTGCATTGGCCGGTATGGTTGCACTTCTGACAGTTTATTAAAGTTATGAGCTCTTGCTAGCACACTGTCTTCGATTTGACAGTGTGTGTGTGCGTGGGTGCAGAGGCGCAACTTAGCAATGCTAAGACACAGAGAGGACAGAAGCAGCGCCTGTAAACACCAAAACATAGCAGCATAGTTTTTCTGTTCGTTCGTCTTAAGTTCTGTAGGTAAAAAACCCTTCCTGATTTTTATAAACCAGTGCAGTGCCCTTTCTACTTCGTATAGGCTTCGCCCTCAAGAGCTATTGGGTTTGTCCGCACGCGCAGAACAGAAAAAAGCTTTGTCTACGCCCACCCGCGGTGTGGGCCTCTATCACGTCGTCACCTTGTGTATATGAGGACTTTGACATATGACCTTGAGACCTGGCCATCGGCTCCCATTGTGCTTCCGCACTGAGCTTGTCTAAAGAGCAGAAGATTACCAGTGGATAATGTCTTCGCACAAACCATTAACTTATTTCCCTCTTGCTCATCTTATGTGTCATTGCTTGCTGCTGGTCTGACTCTTGCCGCTCAGAGCAACGACTGGTATGCTATGGGTCGGGACTGTGTGGGATAATGTTGTTGCTCTTTGTGTGCAAGCTGTTTTTGGAATAAACACTCTGTGCCTGTCTCAGTTGACTGAGCCACATGAAGCACACACTCCCCACACTGTGTGTGCCACTGCCGTTAGCCTATCGGCTAACCCGATAATAAACGACTGCAAACAAAAATAAATTAAAGATAGAGGGGAAGATGAGGGGCAGTGATTTAAGGCAGGCATGGCAGAGAGTGTACACAATGACAGGGAAGGAGGAGAAGAAAAGATATGTTAGTAAAAATGGAGATGATATGACTTTTGCTGATGATTTAAATACATTCTATACTAGATTTGATACATCTGACTTTTGCACTGAACTTAATTTGATTAGGCAACATCTAGACTATGGCCAGCCCTTAGTTATAACAGCAAAGGCGGTGGGTAAAATCTTTAAAAAGATCAATCCACATAAGGCAGCTGGACAGGATGGGATCAGAGGTAGGGTTCTGAAGGAGTATAGGGGACAGCCCTTCAGACAGCTTTTTCAATTTCCCTGGATTCACACCTGATCCCCAGGGCATGGAAAACTTCACTTATAGTGCCAGTACCAAAAATGTCAAAAACGTCGGCCTTAATTGATTATCAACCAGTAATGAAGAGTCTTGAGAGGATGGTCTTAAACTATCTCCTTAAGGAAGTGCAATATAAATTGGACCCACTGCAATTTGCATATAGGAAGGAGAGGAGTACAGAGGATGCTCTGTTATTTATGCTGCATAATATTTATTGTCATCTTGACCGGCCCAAAGGGTACGTTTGTGTTCTTTCTGCAGACTTGTCATCTGCATTTACTACCATTAGACCCCATATTATGATGGAGAGACTACTGCAGTTTGGAGTAGAGTCCTTTTTCACTGACCGAGTACAGTGTGTCAGAGTAAATGAGGCAGTGTCTTCTCCTATTATTACTAACACAGGGGCTCCACAAGGCACTATTTCCCTTCTTATTAACCCTTTATACAAATGAATGTAGAAACAACACACCTGAGCATGTTACTATTAAATTTGCTGACGATACAGCAATGGTTGGTTTGATTAAAGAAGACGAGAAAACCAACTACCGGCAGTGGGTTGAGCACTTTGTGGATTGGTGTAGGGAAAGTTTTCTTCTGTTGAACACCAAGAAAACTAAAGAAATCCTTTTTGACTTCAGAAGTGTTAACAACACCCACCAACCACTTACTATGGATGGAGAGAGTATTGAAATGGTAGATGATTATAAATACATAGGAACAATAATTGGTGCTAAACTGTCATAAATCTGTATCTAGCATCTGATAGTGGAGCTACTGGTGGCTGGACCTTTCGTTTGTATAACGCACAGCCTTGCATGCAGCACACCACCGGTTAAAGAGAATCCCTTGTTCTCGGGAAAAAAAAAACAAAAAAAACAAAATCAATGCAAGTCTGGCCTACACCTTTCGTGAGAGCCCTGAAACATTGCCTGTACGCCTCCGGCACCAGCTCATACACCAGCAGGATGGCGCGCTTAACTTTTTCATAGGAGAGGCTGTCTTGCACAGACAGCGATGAGCAAGCCTTCAGCCGCGCGTCCTCTCTAGAGGTAGGGGAGGACTCCACGGACAATGGATAATACCTCTGCTTTAACCAGAGAACTAGACACAGAAAAACGTGTGAGTCAAAAAAATCAAAAATGTGGGGGAGATTCACAAAGAGTGGACTGCAGCTGGAGTCAGTGCTTCAAGAACCACCACGCACAGACGTATGCAGGACATGAGTTTCAGCTGTCGCATTCCTTGTGTCAAGCCACTCTTGAACAAGACTGCTGCTGAGTGGTCCAAAGTTATGTTCTCTGATGAAAGTAAATTTTGCATTTACTTTGGAAATCAGGGCCCAGAGTCTGGAGGAAGAGAGGAGAGGCACAGAATCCACGTTGCTTGAAGTCCAGTGTAAAGTTTCCACAGTCAGTGATGGTTTGGGGTGCCATGTCATCTGCTGGTGTTGGTCCACTGTGTTTTCTGAGGTCCAAGGTCAACGCAGCCGTCTACCAGGAAGTTTTAGAGCACTTCATGCTTCCTGCTGCTGACCAACTTTATGGAGATGCAGATTTAATTTTCCAACAGGACTTGGCACCTGCACCCGGTGCCAAAGCTACCAGTACCTGGTTTAAGGACCATGGTATCCCTGTTCTTAATTGGCCAGCAAACTTGCCTGACCTTAACCCTATAGAAAATCTGTGGGGTATTGTGAAGAGGAAGATGCGATACGCCAGACCCAACAACGCAGAAGAGCTGAAGGCCACTATCACAGCAACTCCATGCCACGCCGCATTGCTGCAGTAATTCAGGCAAAAGGAGCCCCAACTAAGTATTGAATGCTGTACATACTCATACTTTTCATGTTCATACTTTTCAGTTGGCCAACATTTCTAAAAATCCTTTTTTTGTATTGGTCTTAAGTAATATTCTAAATTTTGGAGATACTGAATTTGGGATTTTCATTAGTTGTCAGTTTTTTAATCATCACAATTAAATGAAATAAACATTTGAAATATATCAGTCTCTGTGTATTGAATGAATATAATATCAAAGTTTCACTTTTTGAATGGAATTACTGAAATAAATCAACTTTTTGATGATATTCTAATTATATGACCAGCACCTGTATATTGGTCTTCTCTATCACTCCTTTGTGGAAAGCATATTAACTTTTTGTTCCATTGCCTGGTATTTCACATTGTCAGTGAATAATCAAAATCAACTGCATAAGCAAAGTAGCATGACGACGACCTGCGAGTCCCGATTGGTGAGGAAGGGGCAGGTGATTATTAGAGATGTATCACATCCCCTACCATCAGGCAGACGGTATAGGGTGCCATTCTTCCGAACCAACTGGACCCGCAGGTCATTTGTGCCTGCTAGTATTGGATTTCTTAACAAACAATGAGATAATAAAACAGAGCTGAATCTCTGGGTGTCGGCGAGCTGCACCTCAGTATCAGTTTTACAGCACTCTGGAGATGTTTGTGTTGGTAAAGCAGCTGTCTGGTTGTTGGTCTGATACACTGTCACAAATGTAGCGGGGGACTGGGTAGCTTATTATGTTGGCTCTGTGCTTGGTGGTACCTTATGTGCCCAGTGAGGCGCTGTTTCTCATCCTGTTTTCGCCTCTAACACAATAGCGATAGCTAGGGCTGTCCATGACTAAGGATTTACATAGTCGAATCAGAATTGCCATGTCTTGCCTATAGTCGACTGATAATCAAATCATCTATGTGTTTGTGCACGCTGATTGCGAGCGGTCGGGGTAGTTCCGCTTTAATGTTGAGGAGCTGCAGTCTCTATTCATTAGTCACTGTAACTTGCACTGTACATTTCCAGCTAAACTGAAGCTTATTGTTGACCATTTTCTCTCTGCTCGTCTGCCATTCACCCGTCTTGTGCAGAGTTTTGCGTGCATTCCGAACGGCGGTTCCTCAAGGGTCAATTACAAGAAACGGTTTAAAACGATATAATATTCTTTGTGTGGTTCATCAGTGGTGATAAATGATCTGAACATGACACGAGGTGCGGACAACTCAGCTCAACAACGGTGAAGGTGGGGCTCCGTCTCTTCAGCAAGTGTTCCTCTTCTGCCACCACACACACATACACGCTACGCCTACACATGCGCACTGAATTTTGAATATAGGTGTTGCAATTCAATTTTGTTGAAAGCTTTACTAAATTATTATACTAAATTATATAAATTATATACTAAATTATATTATATACTAAATTATTACACTTTACTAAATTATAATCACGCTTGTAGTGAACAACGGTGTGGATTTGTGCATTTTATATTTTACTCCAAATTCCTCTCTCCTCCCCCAGAGAAGAAGGGGGGGGGCAAAGTTGCTTTCTTTAACTGCTATGCCTGGGCAGTTGATTGTAAAACTGGCACCTTTTTGATTCCGAAGCTGATAACGCGGGGCCTGACTGTTAAACTGACAAAGTGACACGAACCAGCGATTAGCATTTCCCTGAACAACCTATCAAAACTGGCCCCCCCACACATGTTTCCGTGGCAACTGACCTTGCTCTTTGTTTTATTACCCCATCAAAGGGACTAACCCCTGTCTCACCCAAGTGTGACATAACCCAGAAAGCCGAACTTTAAATAACCAAAGACTGCAGTCTCCAAATACTCAAATCATTTAATTAAGTTTAATTAAATCTTTAGTTACTTGATTACGTTTGCCTCTATTTGAGTAGTTATGTTAACATTTTGTTGCTATCTGTTGTTGATATTAGTGCTGAAAAGAAAGTTACTTTTGCAGTTTTTATTTTCAGCAAGACACTCCTTCATCTAATGTAATCAATGCTTGTTCATAATACTTTCCTACAAAATTCCTTTAGAAATGATGACAAAGGAATGTTTTACTATACTCTTAATCGCCAGCTTGAATTTAAGGATGAATCAACAAAAATTCCCCGGTTCTTAAGGAGAGACAATCTTGGATAAATCCAAGCTTTCCTCATGTAACCTGAGCTCCCCCAAGTGGACGAAATAAGTATTTACATGCCCTCGTTGGAAATGCCATTAAATGTATAAATATCCTGACCAACAATGTGACAATTGTTTCCTGTTACCAAATGCTTAACTTAGAACAGTACAACCGTCTGACCATTGAGGTTCGATTGTGGAAAATATTTGATTATAATACGTGCAAATAGATTTCTTTAAACATTAAGTTTAGAAAGGCAGTCCCTCTGGAAACCTGAAACGCCCTCTGGGGAACCACGCCCCAGACAACAAAAGAGCGACACGCGACGTCGTTTGCTCTCTTCCTCTTTGCTCTCTCTTCTCTTCGCTGTTGGCTCTCTCCGCTGCTCTGCTCGGCTCTCTGGATGCTTCGGCACGCATCCGGCGTGCCTCACCAGGCAACGCCCTCAGAGTCGGCCAGCGAAACAGGCCTTTTGTTGGCTTGAAGCTACACACGCGAAGTGCCGCAACATCGATCTGTCCCTCAGTTTGTTTTATTTTCTTTCTTTCTTTCTTTTGTTTTGTTAAATTTATCAGTCCGTTAAGTTACAATGGACTAATTCAGGAACGACCAAGTTCCCTTTTTAAGCTTTTTCGTAGAGTCAACTTCACCAAGGTCAGACCAAGCCATGTGGTCTCGCCAGCGGCAACGAAGGGAACCTGAAAACAGCTGAATTGCCAGAAAGAGGATGGCATTTTCAGACACGGAGAACCCTGGAGAATCCCTAGCAAAAAGCCAGGATCGGGCAGCTAGCGTGGGACCCGTGCAACAGGCTAAAGCAGGCCGTCGACAAGCCGTAAGACCTAACCAACATTCTGTGGTCAGGGATTTCCTTTTAACTCCTGAACTAATAGCTTACTTTCATTAGTTCTCCTATGCCGTATGAGTCAAATGCTTCCCACAATCGAACCTCCATTTCTCATTGTTCAGCAATTGTTTATTTTACCTGTATTTAACCACCCTTTTATATCGCATTAGTTAGAGAATAAATACACTGTAATATAATCAATAATCGCATTAGTTAGAGAATAAATACACTGTAATATAATCAAGAACTGTGTGTGTTGCCTATTTCTACGTCCCTGCCAAGAGAATTGACCCTTTTAGATATGAGACTGACTGATTGATTTAAGATAATTGAGCGATTATTAACTAACTGGTCACTAGTAATAATTGTATAATTAGTAAAAACTACCTAGAGGTCTGGAGACTCTAGGATTATAACAACTCCGCTGGTGCCCTTAACGAGGAATATTGTTGATTTTATGAATATTAAATTTCATAATTGGGTATTAATTCTCCTAAATTTATTAAAATGCATAACAAATCTAGGTATGCTACAAGCTTTACTAAATTATTGTCTTTGTAAAGAAAATAAAATAAAAAAAAGGCATTTACCTGGAAGGAGTAACCTGCTGGTGACAGAAAGCGAGGGCTGTACATTTCCTGTTCTGCTGGTGTGGTGGCCAGCAGGCCGGTGATGTTGTGGATGTGCCAGATGTGCTGAGGGCACTTTGTGGATGACAGGTTAATGTCATCCAGAGAGAAACCTCCCTTCGATGGCCCCTTTCCCCTCACGCCCTCAAAAACCACACGGGCCTTCCTGGTCACACTCAGATTGATGTTATGCAGTTCCCAAGAGCCCCTGACGCCTCCTGAAAAGAGGACAGAAAATAGATATTAGTGTTGTAGGTGAAATCTTTGAGGTTTTGTTATTTTTATTTATTGAAACATGAGAGAAACCTGGTGAAAATTGCTGCAGTCTAAATGTTGCTTGGAGTCGCCAAAGTCAGAAACATCTACATTGGGGCTTTAATTAAAAAAACTATACTGTGGATCATACAGTATGTAATATTTCATTTGTTACCTGAAATACTCTTGAAGAGCTTCCGTTTTCTGCTGCGGTCATCCTCTCGCACCCAGATGTTGAGAACATCATCTGCTGCCCCGGTGTTATGGAGGAAGAACTGCAGACACTGGGCTCCAGGTTTGGGATAAAGCCAACGACTCTCCAGGACTGCACGGTCACCAGGTTTAGCAGAGGCCGTGCTGAAGTGCATGAAGAAGCCTTTTCCTGAGGGCAGAGAGAACTTGTTGGGCCTCAGAACTTTCATATTACAGTAAACAAATGAAAAGTTAGTTCTGCATGATCACCTGTGTAGTGTTATGTGGGTTATAGTGTTATGTACTGAGTTACTGATTTCATTCATAAAATGTTAATTCTGAGTTCCTGTATAAAGTGTTGGGCAAAGTGTATTCTGTGAATGAATGTATTTTATGGTAAATTCAAATATTTCACCTTGAGTTTAGAATTGTGTGGCTAAGTGAAGTGAATAGATTTGAACTGTTTTATAGATTTTGTCATTTTGTTCCTGTTGCACAACAAAAGTTCAGTTTTATCTTATCTGCTTTTTCCATTGTTTCTTTAACACATTAACATGCATTGTAATGATTGACAGTCACCTTTGCATTGTCCCATGTTGGTGAAGTCAGTCTGAGGCCCTCCTTTTACAGAACTACGTTGTTCCCACTTTGCATTGCCAGGACCCTGAATCATCCCACAAATGTCCTCCTCCTCAAAGTCACAACTGTCCACAAAGGTAGAAGACTTGGCTGTGGAGAGAAAACTTTTTCATCAAGACACTTCAGTACAGACTTGAATGACCAACACTTAATCTTGTCTCATTTGCCACCATTCCTGTCATAAACCTGTAGTACTACCAAAATGTGTATATTTTTACATGGATAATACATTGATTAATTGTACAAAACACATTTTCCCCCTTAATGTTTTTGTATTACACTGAGTGTTAAATATTCAATACTTCAACAAAACAATAACAAGGGAGTAAGAATCTGATAGCAGGTGGACCAAATACACACACACAAAGATACACACAGACACACACAACTACACACAATGACATCTATCCTTCCACATATATCAGCACGAACATATAGGCCTACTAATTATATTTCCTAAGAAGGAGAGGTAGGAAAAGAAGGAGAAAGTAAGAATACAAGTACAAATAAATATAAGAATTTAAAAAAGAAAAATAGACACACATTAATTACTTCCTACGAAGTAAATTTTATATTCTTAGACAAAGTTAATTTTATGCACACCACAATGAACTCATTAATTAGCCCTAGAGCAAAGCCATGGGTCCAGGGACCAAAAACCATTGGACCAATGTGACGTGTAGTGTAAAGCTCTTTGAGTGGTCGGGCAACTAGAAAGGTGCAATAGAAGAAGTCCAGTGTGTTTCTCATTTACGTCTATGTATTGTGTTGCAGAGATACCTACTGAAGTTAGCATGCAAACAAGCTAGCTCTGGCCAAACTGTTTCATCATACCTCTTTGTAACTTAAGTCCAATGGTCCAATAGTACAGCTCAGGTTTCCCCTGCAGTTTCATCAAGGTCGCTACGTAACACCTATTTATTAAACAGAAAAATACAACCGTACCGTCCGTGATGGGATCTCACCACGTGGGTGAACAAAGAGAGGCCTACATGGAAAAACAAAAGCCTCAACAATGAAACACCAAAACCCCACCAGGCCTTGCAAATCTCATCTGGGTGTGATTTTAGTTTGAATTGAGATCCTGTTTTTTTACTGGACGACATCAACAGGACCCCTGGAAATTCCTGTGACATGACCACGACGTCACCGAACGTATTAAGATGCCTCACCTTTCCATTGCAGCACGAGCTGCTACGCGAGGTGTTGCACTGCCTGCCAACGCTGTACTTTAATAAACGTAGGTGACAGTCTCCAACTCACTTTACGAGCTACAGACATTTCATTTTGACCCTTTTTTCTCTTGGTTTTCTTAGAGAGAGTACATTATGTTTCGTCATGCGACGGCAATATTTTAGAAACAGTGGAATCTACTTTTTTTACAATATTATGACAAAATGATTGTATATTGAATAAATATCACATTATGCAAAATCAATGTTCACTGTCTGCCATTGTGATACCACTTCAGAAATGTTCTAATTCTACATTTTGGCAGCAGCTGTCAATAACCTTTGAAAGAAGTTTAGCTTCATAATGTTTAGCCAGGTTCAAACGACAAACCAAGGTAAGGTGTTCTTTAAAACTGTTGGCAAACATCACTAGAGATACTGAAAATAGTTCTTCTAAAAATGATTTCAGTATTATTCCAGAGGATATATTATATTTTTATCTATTGTTTTTCTTAACTGAGAAACAACATTATGTAAGTTCTGTGTGGTTTTCTAATCTTGTTAAATAAAGTTAAACAGAACTGCTGTTAGCTGACAGTAATAAACTGTTGGGTGATGTACTGAGACAACATCTGTCTAAACTGTATTTTATTATAGTTCCAGTATACTGTACAGTATTATGGCAGGTGTTGCCAGAGGCTTCCTTTTGTACCTCACAATATGTCAAACATCTATGGTAATGAAGGTAACCTGTCTCATTGACTCTTTGATGGACAAATGGCAGGCTGGCAGAACTCACTGCAGTTGTAGAGACGGTTGAGCTTGGTTATGTCACTAGCACTGAACCCCATCCTCTGACCAATCACATCCATGAAGTGGGGGATCTTGGTGACGATGGTGGGCTCAGAATCAATGCTGAAGTACGTCTTTCCGTAGTGCATTATAGAGCTGTAGTCATAAGGAACGCCTAGAGCACTGGACACCGTGTCATCGTGGCTTTCGAAGTTGTGCTCTTGACCTGAGGAAGGCAGAAGAAGAATGTCAGGAAGAATTCAGCTGTTGTTTTTTATTTATTGCAAGCAACTGTCAGTTTTGTTGTGTAAAACAAAATTAGATGGTGGGCATGGATAATGAGAAAAATGCAGGAGTAGTTTCTGTACAGTTTGTCATTTATTGTATAAAGTTATTACATGAGTGTACACTAATGTAAGTGATGAGCTGTAATTACAAGTGTCACAAATCAGCGTTACCAGGTTCAATGTGATCCCACATGATGTTGACGTAATCATCACGGTCGGCTCTGGACTGCTCGTGCCAGAAGCCCAGAGCGTGCAGGAACTCATGCTCAACGGTGTCTAGAGTATCACAGTATTCACCAATGGACAGCTGCTGCCTCCCCATACGCTGGTTGCCTACATAGGAGAAGCATCTACAGAGAGGGGAAGCAAGATGTTCACATGCAAGAGACTAACTGTGTCTGCCTTTTGGTGCTGGACAGGTCAGTCAGTATGGATGGATGAAAACAGGGTTGATGAAAGCAGTGAGACTAGACCAAATGAGTAACACTGCAGTACTTTAAACCACAACGACGAGCAGAAAACTGATAAAAGGTTTTGTAGAGCTGAGGGGAGCTGCATCTATTGATACCGTGTCATTACAAGCGACCTCTTTCTCATTGCAGGATGCAGTACTGACCTGCAGTACATCTTCTCCGGTTCTCCAGTCATTTGTCGCCAGATTGTTGTCCACCCGTAGCGGTAGCTACTCCGGCTCAAGATTAATCTCATTCTAGAACTTCGTATTTCTGCCTTTCCGTGTCTTTGAAGCTAACTTTGTTTTTCTTTGCCCCAGGACCTCATCGCCAGCCACGCAACCGCCTCTCCTGTCTCCTGTCTGCCTCCCGGTCTCCGCCTCACCAACCCTCAGCATCCGCTGTTTATCCTCGTCACCGCCACTTTCCCCAACTCCCGTGTGAAACTGACAATAAAGTCCACCATTCCCGCAACACCTGTACGTGTCCTGCGCTTGTGTTCCCAGTCCCTGGTTTCCGCAACACATTTGTCCTGTTACAGTTTACATGAACTGAACACAGCAGTTTGAAGATCTGCTCACCCTTTCCCTTTGTACACAGAGATGTAGTTCCCCTCTCCTTTCCATGGTGTGAAGTCAATGCAGGTCTTCAGTCTGTACTGGTCAAATGCCTTCAGGATTACTCCCTTTGCATTCATCTCTACACATTACAAAGTGTAAGAACATAAATATTGATAAAGCAACCTAATTTGGTAACTACTGTGAGTTTCCAAAACACCGTGTCTTACCCAGACAGTCCTCCAGGTAGTAAGGAACGGTTGTTGGCCAGCGATACTCATCTCCTATGATTGAGTTTCTGATGAATGTCTGATGGGAATAAAGGAAATAACAGGTATAAAATTGAGTACAGGTTCAGGGGAATTACCTGTCATTGAATTTCTCTTCATGTGCCCAGAAGGATAGTCCTTCTTCATCCTCTTATGTAAAAAGTCGTTATTTTGCTTAAAAATCTAGTGAAGTAAAAGTAAAAGCTGCAACAACCTGAAGTAGCCTACTCAAGTACAGTACAAATCTGGAAAAAAAAACTATGTATGTACAGTAACAAAGTATTTGTACTTCGTTACTTTTTGCTGGTCACAATGCAGTCAACCAGACGAGCCACCACCTCCTGTGAAGTTAAGATAATACTCATGACTGTTAAAATGATAATTTAACCTTGTCCAGATATGTAGTCTCTCCTTGAACTAGGGCTGTTAGGACCTCTGGGTGGACAGAGGCCGTAAACTAAGGCCCCATCCACACTACTCTGTTTTTGTATAAAAGCTGAGTTTTAAAACGAATATGCTCCCAGTCCACACCAGCGTTTTAACTGTGTATCAGAGTTGATCTCCGTCTACATTAAACAACTGAAAACGCACATCTAGTGGCCGTTCACGTAGGGTGAATTCAGGTATATTGGGACAGTTTTTGTAATTCTGTCTTGTGATCTCGTTACATCAGCAAATGTCAACAGGCTAGATTATTGATTAAGATGTTAAAATCATTAAAGACTCCAACATGTTGTCAGACATGTTTATTTTATTTATTTCTGTGTTATCTGCCATTCTATTCTGCAGCAGACCTTCAATTCATCATAAGAATAAAGCAACAGGTTAAACAAAGTGAGTAGCAAAACGTCTGCATGCATCAGCGATGCTTCTTGATTAGACTTAATTATATGTTACAGAACTGCTACATTAAACATAGTAAACATTTGCTTTATTGTCAGAAGATTGTTGGAAAAGGCTAATTTGACCAAATGATAGGGCTTTCTACAGACAATGTGGGGGATTAGCATCATTAGTAATCTTACTCTATCTACTTAAAAGTTGCCTGTAGGTTACATCTCGGTGGTTCTGTGTTGACATACATGTGTGGTCCCTCTGTATATCTGGTTTTATGAATCCACACTAGTGATAAATTTCATTTATTATAGCCTTTTAACACTGTCCCAATATATCTGAAACATGCTGTCCCAAATTACCACAACACGTTTGGTAATTTGGGACAGCAAGAAAAATGTAAACATAATTTCCAAACAATATTTTGTATTTTGGTAAACTATTACACCATACATGTTTTGTATATCATTTAAATCTACAGTATATTAGTCATCAAATGTTTTACCCTTATATCAAAATCAATCTGAAGCCTATTTCATTTCTCCATCCTACCAGGTTTTCAATCCAGGGACTGAATTAAAAACTGAATCTGTCCAAGTACTCAGAGTTATTCCCAAATTCCCTTCAGGGAACAACAGGGTCCCCAAAGGACCAAAGAGGTATAACCTTGCCATTGGACCTGACTAATCTCTTTGTGATCACTTACCTATTACTATCTGTGTTTAACCTGATATCATGTTTCAACTACTTTCATTTATTTTCTTATTAAGAATCGTTTAACAATCAGTACTGTCTTGGAACGTAGCCTGTTCATTCATCTGCTACTATGAATTGTGTTGTTCAACTTTAACAGGTCTACAGTTTGACTTTAATAGGCGGTGGGCCAACGGCAGTTGTTGAGGACTTCTTCAGGGTTTTCAACAAATTAAACTAAATTTGTTGCCACTCGTGCTTCTGCCATTTTTTTTGTTTATCAGTAACTTTATCCACCTTAGTTTTCCCGGCAATAAGAGCGGACCGTTATGTCTGGGGTCCAATTTACGTGACGTACATGTAGTTATTGTCCAATGACGTGCTTGGAAAAGTGCCAGACTATGGAAAACCCGGAAATAAATAACGCGCCGAAGGGACCGAGACAGCAGGTTAACTACGTTGATTTAAGTTATTATTAAGTATTAAGTAAACTCGCGTTTACGCTTTACTTTCAATAAAAATAGATTTACGTTGTAATCATGGAATGTAAACATTTGGTCCTCAGCCTTTTGTGTGTGGCTTCTTTGCATCTTGTCCCTTCAAACTGCAGAAACACAGGATACATTTACCACAAGTTAACTGTCACCCTGCTTTGTTATTCACCTTAAACTGTCAATGTTTGCACTTCGTGTAAATAACTGCCACATAAACAGTCTTTGTTACTTTTATATCTTGTCATTATATAGGTTTGTTTGTTATGCACCAAATTCCTTGTATGTATAAGCTCTTACACATACACTCTACATGGCAGTATAACGTTAGCTGATTCTGATTAATAAAACACCAACATGTGAGTACTTTAGAGGTAGACACAGAGTCATCCTTACTTTTTTATATGATAATTTATAACATAACATTGTCCCTCGTAAGTTTTTGGTGATCTTTTACATAATATATCAGTTATCACAAATTTCTGTTCCATTGTATTGTTAGAAAACTTCACCTGTCAATCTTAATATGATGAGCAACGTCACATAATCATGCCAACCACCAGATTGCTCCTGTACTTATCCAGGTTTGCTAACATCACATGTATAAAAGAAACAGGGGTCTGTGTGCATGTAGAGAAAACTGGACCCATCATTCCTTTTACAGACACAGCATGGGAAAGTGTTATAATATCTTGGGACTAGAAAGTCTTGCAGCTGAAGAGGCAGTGTGAAGATACAATTAGAAAACCTAAAAACCTCCTGCTGTATCAGCTCACACTGGTACCCCAGAGACAACTAGAGCCATTTCACTAACATCACAAAGACAAAATGAGCCCAGGAACGAAGAGCGAAGGCAGTTTAATTCAAAAAGAGATTTAAAAGAAGGTTGGTGTCAAACATGCAATGGATGAGTGTGAAGGTGGATCTTCAACTTTGAATCTGTTAAGGAAACAAAGAACGGAAATTAGGAGCAAGTTCCAATATTTCATACATTACATTTTAAGAAACAAAGTTTATTGTGTGTAAACAAACCGTTACAACACAAGATATTAGCAATATAAAACACCAGCTGTACTCTTGCACCTTTGTGCAGTGAAAGAGAATTTAAATTGCACATTGGGTATCGTTTAAAATTTACGACACCAGTACCCTAAAGTGATACTGATACTTCATTAGATACCTTGCATAAAATACCAACTGTTGAAGCCGTAGTAGTTGATTGGTAGCCTAAAATAATTTTATGGTTGATATGGACAAGCAAGGAGATCCATTTCTTTTTTTCAAATAACTGTTTTCTAAACACATTGGGAAATTGTATCAGATCACTTCTCATCCTACTTCGGTCATCCTCCTTTTTTGTATTTAAATGAGAGAGGAGGAGTGAAACAGTTTAGTGACCACATGAGCTGTGGAAAACAAATTTAGGTTACATTTTTCTTACGTTTATTGAAAGTAAACGAGAATAATTTTGTTATCTTTTGATTATTAAACTGAATTGAAAGATCTCAAAACAAGTAAGGAGTCTGCTAAACAAGTCACTAAACTACACTAAAGAGTGTAAAGAAGCAAACAGCAAAGAGAGGCTGCACATCCAGCTGATCACACCGACTACACCTGAAGCAGCTGCAGCCGGAGGCTCCGTGAGTTAAAAAAAACAAAACAAAAAAAAACAAATAAAAAAACGCGGATCGCTGCTGCGCCACAAAACAAACATGACAAACATGCCTGAGACTGCAGCTAAGGTAAGGTGACAGCTGTGAATCACACATGGACTTGGACAAGTGGTTCCCCTCACTATTGATTGGTGATCTATTTGATAGATCACATCACTCATACAGTATAGAGAAAGCCAGGGATGAGGATCGTTCATTTTTATTGATGCTGCTTAACGATCCGAGTCTTTATTGATAATACCACTATCGATACGTTACTCGTAAGAGGAGACCCAACGGGCATGAGGTAGGCCTGCACGGTGTGAGGAAATATTCAATGTGCGATAACATTGTTATACATTGAGATGACACAGGACTTGCTATAAACAAACTAATATTGATGTGTGCTTATTAGCTGCCTGGTTGTTTTTTAATTATAGGATTAGAATTGAATATGTTCAATGTAACTAAATGTTGTTTCTAGAGCAGCAACATTAATGTTTACAGCAGCAAAGTCACTATTAAAACATAATATCTGACATCACAATACTGATTGATGTTTAGAAAGAATGAAAAACTCAGTCATCTTCCTCTGCTGGTAATGACCTTTATGTTACCTGGTAGAAGGAGGAGCGGCTGGTTTGTCTCAGCCAGAGTTTAAAATTACAGACCAGTCTGTGCTCCAGACAGTCAGCTTTCTATTTAGCTTGTTTTTAACATTTGGCTAACGCCAAGCTAACGTTTGCTGTGCTTGTATAAAACATACCGGATGGGAGACTGAGGACAGAGATGATTGAATGAACCCTTTCTACATGTTTACCTTACAGACAGGTGTGTTGTCTTTTTACTCGGGAAGGTTTTATTTCAAGTAGGTTTGAAGTTGGTATTTAGTGCTGAAGGTAAAAACAGACACAAGATGGTGAGAAACCCCAGCAAACACACGAGCTGTAACGTTACGGTCACACACCACTGACTTCTTTTACACATTGAAACGAGCATCACTTGCAAACATAAATAAAAATACAAATGCGCCGAAATAATAATAAAAAAAAAACTACCCGATTAACATTATTAGTTAAACAAAACTAGCTAATGAGAAATAGATACAGGCCACATTCAACCACTGGGTGCATGATGCTAGCTAGCAAGCACAGCGTTATAGCTAACGCTACCTTTAACGTTAAGGCCGCAGTAAGTTTGAACAACACAGTTCTGTCTTAAAACAAGTTGCTTTACGAGAATTTTCCAACAACATTAATATTTACCCTCGCAGCTTTCACGCATACTGTCTACGGCCGAGCGTCGCTGCTTCCACGCTGTTCTTCGTTGTGTCAACAGCTGATGTAAAGCACTTTGGGCAGTGCTATACAAAGAAATGTTGATTGATTGATTGATTGAACAGCGGTGCTCAATGCAGCTAAATCTGATTGGTTAATGACATCGCTTCATCAGTATGCAAGCGTGCTATTGGTTCCTCTGCTATAGTAAGCTGCCGTGTTTGCCGGTAAATTTAACGATTTTAAAGTATGATTTAGTGAATTACGTGAGCATTTCGAGTGGCAACAAACGGAATCTGGATAAGAATAAAACATTCTTCATACCTTTAATCAATCTGGGTTTTCCCTCGATAGGGATCATTATTTTCTAAAACTAAAGCAGATATGTGTCTTTCCTTTTTCATTTGTTATGACATAAAATTGTATAACTGCTTATGGCATTTATGAAATTGTTGATATTGTGGAAAGATATATGATTAAAAACACGCCCAAACAGACTTTCTTAGACATTACCAGAGACATTTTAGAAAGGACTTTGACATTAGGCCTTCTCTTAAATTCAGATTTCTTAAAACATAGAAACCTCGAGGGAAACAAGGTGACTCCCACCATTTGACACACCCCAGGACAGTGGGAAGCATTTAGAAAAATGTTTGGAGCATTTTTTATTTGTTTGTTAAATTAAAGTTTTTGTCTTTTAAAGTGACAACCAATTTATCCTCTTAAATCAACACTTAACCTGCCTACAATAAAATCCATAGATGTAAAACACTTAAAGTGTATCACAATGTCAGTTAAAGTCAAATTATTATCACTAGTAAAAAGGCATTTTTGACAGGCTGAGGCAGGCTGCTGCTGCTAATCGCAACAGCATGCAGAAAAACAAACCGGCCATATAATCTAAATAAATAGTCTGACAATAAAAAAAAACATGCAGGTTGCCTTACCTTACTGCATCAAAAATCAAGGCTTCACCGCAGATTATGTCCAATCCCAAAATCCAATCCAAAACGAACAATGAGACAGCCTCCTAACGCTGCAGCCAGAAGTCTCTGAAGCCAATTTCATAATAAACGCAGAAAGACTTTCCGCCAGTATGCTGCATTCGCTCATTTATACTTCACAAACATTTGCAGCATAATCCTGCAACCATGTGTGCTATATGTCTATGAAGATTCTCAGTCATCCAGGTCATAGTTATCCAACGAAGGTTAAAATTAAGGGCAACTGGACTTGGTTGACAACCAATTTTTTTTATCCAATTTTAACCTTCGTTGGATAACGTGTGCAATAGAAGGCTAATACATGCTTGATGCCTGGCCCGCATGTGAACTATGACATGAAAATTGTCCTGAAGCCTGGCCCTTGGGGCCTAAATAAGTCGGGCCCCGTCGGAGGGGCATGCAGGGCTCTTTTTCCTGTTGTTCCCTCCACCCCCACCTCTGTTCTCACATCTCTGTGGTGTCCGTTTGTGCCCATTTCGGCCCCCCTTTTTGGCCATGTGACAAATAATTACATAATTTAATAAATAATAAAGAAGACAAGGGAGTAAATTAAAATTCTCTAGCTAAAGCAGAGGAGAGGAGTACCATGTTGTACCAGACTGTCTGGCACAACATGGTATTCAGCTCCTCACAATGCATACCAGACTGCTGGGCGGGATGACATAGACCCACATTGCATAATTACAATTCTGCTGTATGTAATAAAGTAGCAGTAGCTCAGACCACAAGGATTTGGGTGGGAACTGGAGGATTGCCGGTTCGAGGGCAGCTCGGACCAGAGATGTGGAGTATGGACTGGTAGCCAGAGAGATGCCAGTTCACCGCCACTGCCTCAGGTGGCCTTCAGCATGCGGCTGAACCGCCAACTGCTCGGGGCCCCACACTGAGTGGCAGCTCCCTCGCTCTGACATCTCTCCATGTATCATATGTGTGTGTGCATAATACTGAAACATTTACATGTGAAGAGTGAAAAAACATGGAATTTCCCCTTGCGGCATTATAGAGTAATCATCTTCTTGTTTATATTTTAATTTAGACAATTGTTCCCTTGCACTAAATCCATTATTCACATAATCACACAATAAATTATTAAGGTTATTTCAGATTGGCTAGTTTGTCTCCAATCTGATCATTATTAGGATCATCGGTGACTAGCAAAGTAGAGAAGCACTACACATATAATTTATGCATGTGCAACAAATGTCCCATCTCGTGCCCAGAATTTAGACACAAATATAATGTAATACTCAACACGCCTGGATATGCAAAATCCTAAAGAGCAGCAGAAGAGATTGGTTTTTGGAGTCTGTGCATACTATTTAGAAGTAGAAGATTTTTAGTTAGCTATGATTTCAACATTGTTTCAATATTAAAAAATGGTGCAAAAATTGTTGATTGATTCAATTAAATTAGCGTTGAGAGCAGAATGCTGATTCAACATAGTTTCTATAATGTTTGCTATCTGGGTAGCTTACTTCCTCCTGTACGATGTCTCCCTCCAGCAGGTCCAGACCAGCCGCTGCAAAGGAAAATTGCATTGGTTGATGAAAATCATCAGAGACATATAAATGTTGGACAACAAAGCGAAACAAAAAATAAAACTCAATGATACACAAACCTTCATTGATGCTAAGGATGTCCCAGTCATGGCCTCCATCAACATCATTTTCTGCAGATGAAGAATCAATAATATGCTGCTCAAAATGTCATTACAGGAGGTCATTTTTTTTATTATTATTATACTGTTAGCTGATTCTTCTGAGTTAGAACTGTCTCTGCTGAGCTGAATGTACAACTTCAGTTCATGAAGGGTGCAGTGGGGACTAGGGGTGGGAAAAATAATCGATTCTTAGATGCATCGCGATGCGGACGTGGAAGATTATGAATCGATTAACAAATATCTACAAATCTATTATTTAAATGTTAATTGATGCAATTAACATTTAAGCTGTTAGCGCTAGCTAACATCTCCTCTGCTCTCTGTCCCCCACACCAGACACCACACTTTTGGGGACAGAGCCATCAGCGTCACAGCCCCCACCCTCTGGAGCTCATCCCCACAGAGATCTGAAATGCTCCCTGTCTGGACACTTTCAAACATCTACTAAAAACCCAGCTCTTTACCCAGGCATTCAGTCCTGAATGACTTTGTTGTTCTGTAACTATGTGTAAAGCGTCCTTGGGTCCCGTGAAAGGCGCAAAAATATTTATTTATTCATGTAACGTTCCTAAATTAGTAACAAAGTAATATTAAGTATCAGCTGTATGTCATTCCCAACTAAACTACTAGTCAAGGGCTGAACACATCAGGCACAAGCTTAGACTAAATTGGTGTACAGTTCTGTCCTGTATACATACTGTACTGAACATCCTGATAATTATTTTTCACTTTTCAGGAGTCTGAAAACTGGTTGTTAAAGAAATGAGGGACCAATAGCAAAATGCAATAGCAGATGCGAGTCAGGCATTCACTGGCAAAAGATCACAAGTGTATAGGGTGGGTGGGGTATTTCAAATTTTCTCACTCAAGTTATACTGAAGTGTCTGTCTACTTTTTGACTGTAAATAACATGTAAAAATCTCAATATGTGACTCACCTGTGTCACCTGTTAGCTTGGCTGCTGCCTAGTAAATACATTAGAAAGCACATTGATCACATAATTTACTAAAGAATGAACTGACATTCTAGGAATCAACATTAAAGCATTGTTTTACACTGGAGATCCAACGTGGATGTTAGTGTTTGACAAAGAGCAAAGGCTTACACTTACCAGTCCCAGGCCAAAGAACAGAATGATCCACCTGAGTGCCATGGCTGCAGCTGAAGATACACGCTCACTGTGTTGCTTCAACCTGCCCGAGTCCTGCTGTGTCTAAAGAAATGTTGTTTTCTCTTTGTACAGAAAAATAAATACTTACATGTTTCGCCATGAAACAGGAAGCTGTAACGTCACTATTTATTGTCCAACCTGCTGCAGACTTGACGTGTTTGATAAGAGTTCAGGCCTCCTGATTCTGAGGAAGCTGAATGTACATCTTAAAGACATGAATGGGGCATGAAGGATGCAGTGGGTTAAGCACCGCTGGCAAAGTAAGACATTGGGAGCAGGCATTCACTGCCAGAAGGAGAGCAGTGTAAAGCGTGGGCTGGAGTATTTTAAATCTTCTACCTTTTGACAGTAATTAACATGAAGAACACCTGTCAATCATCATGAAACATATCCACTCATAATCGTAATGACCTAATATAGAACTGTGATGACATTAAAATAACTGTAATAATATTGAAAGGTCAAACATCAAGAGGTAAAAGGCACATTGTGTTTATTTAGTAAGAGATACATTCAAGCTTCTGAGGGGAATAAATCTTTCTTTTTTTGATGACCCCATGTCCTTGACAGCCTGGGGACAGTTTAGATTTACAATGTAAAAAGTGAAGTAATGGTCTGTGGCAATTATGGGGGGGAGCCAACAGTGCCCCTGTAACACAGATCTTGGACCCCCCTATGACCCCCCTCTGAACGAAAAGTCTACAACAGCCCTATTGAATTGGCGGCCCGCGGGCCACATCCGGCCCAGCACATAATCTAATATATATGACAACAAAAGTAAACTACATGTATAGTGTATGAAAGTAGCTAAAGAGTGAGCTGTGTGGTTTCCTTCTCATCTTTGTTGTGCACTCGCACACACGGCGGCAGCAGAGGGAGGAGGACAGGAGGGACTGAGCTGTTCATTCTTTCTAAACTTCACTCAGTATGTTGATATCAGGAATATGATCTATTTTACTGACATGTAATTTGTTTCCAGCGAGATATTAGTGACTTTGCTGTTGTAAATCCCGTTGCTGCTCTAGAAACAACATTTAGTTAATAAAAATGGTACATTCTTTTTTTAAGTAAGATATTCAGTTATTTAGTAATAAATAGGACTGATAAGAGCATTAATAAAGAACTGAGCCAAAAGGGATTACCAATACAAGTGTGTCAATAAAATCCTTATGATCCCAACTCGTGAGAAAATGGCAATTGAATTTGTAATTGAATAGCCCTGGTTTACAGTAATCATAGTAATCTATCTTCCTTGCGACGAAATGTACATTAAACTGAATGCAGCATTGTAGACAATATTCTGTCCTTGTAATCCAGGTTTCCACTGCATGGATAGCCTTTGGATATTGCTGGAAATCCCCTCCTTAAAGGGTATATTATTATCATAACAATTTAACAATGCATTGCATTTAAACAGCACTTTTCATACACAAAAAGCGATAAAAGTAGCCTACTGGTCCTACCTGGACATGCAGTCTGCCAAAATATGCATTCCACTCCATAATGCACAGATTATGGCCTACTATCAAGTATTTTGTTTTGTGTATATTTCACATCATGACTAATAACAGGGGTGAATATGGTGGTGTTTCTTGTTTCCTAGCAAATGTTATAGTGGGATACAAAATACAAACTGGGATCCAGAGAATGTCTAGAGCTTAAACTGTTCATTAAGCCTTACAAAGAAGAGTTGCATCAAAGAATGTGCTGTAACTTGAGCTAAAATTAACAGGAATGTTTTTTTTATATATATATATATAATGTAATTTAATAAAACTATAACTAAGTTACTAGAAAGATCCTGTTACTGAAACAAATAAGTGTAAGTTACTGAAATATACTAAAACATTACATTATATACTAAACAAGACATTTTAAGAGCTTGAACAGTGCCTTTGTCTCTTTTGTCCCGGATTGAATGTACCCCTCTGACAAAACTACTGGCCCCAGCCTGGCACCCTCAATGAAACTGGTCTAGAACTGGCACTGGTAATTAATACAAATTCATTTTATATTAATATGGGTAAAAAAGGAGTCATTATTTTCCCACTAGTTATATTCATGGATTTAGATCATTACAGGTAAAGCACTCACAGTACATCCAGTGTGCTGGAGTGGAGCCAAAATTACAAAAAACATACCATAGTTCTATTGTACTGTGATCTTGAAACACTTCATTGGAAAGTATACAATATATTGCCTCAGCCTGTTTCCCAACAAACCATGTTTCCTTTTTCTTCATTTTGTTTTTGTAACAGTTATTGCAATAGCAATATTGCAAGCAGGTTTAATAAATTCCTATTTTAAATAAAATGTAATTTTTTTAACCTGCACCTGTACACTTTTGAAAAGGATATACTTTTTCAGCACAACAATTTGTCTGATTTGGGAGAAAACACACTCTCTGTAACTATGAAGAATTTGTACGATGAAGAAATTTATTTGGATTTGAAACCTGATGGCAAAGTTTGCTGAATGCCCAGAAGTGCAGTTCAAAATATTTGAATTTTTTATCTTTCAAATTTGAAATGCTCCTTGTTACAACCCAGCTCGTTAGGGTAGGGCAGTAACAAGGTATTTGGGATAGAATGAAGGTGGTAAGGACAACGGAATTTAGGTTTAAGTCAATTGTTTAATTAAATGATCTCAGAAAAAACACAACGAAAGGAGGCTATGTAGGTACTGACAAAAAAAAGGAAACAAAAAGGAGGTATTGCCCAAAGACAGCTCTCTACTCAAAAAAAAAAAAAAAAACTGAACAAAAGGAGGTCAGTACCTACATGCTTTACAAGAATGTAAAGTAACCCAAACAGACAATGTTCAACCCTAAAGAGTGCCACTCACACCATGTGGTTTACAAGGCTGACTGCTGACTGACGGCAGTCGCTTAAATAGGCAACCGACAGAGACAGGTAAATTCAACACTCAAGAAATTCACTATTCACAAGGATACATAACCAACAACAAGACGAACTGATCACTGGCTCACAGTCTCGAACTGCAGAAACACAAACTATTTGTAGGCCAGCTGTATTGGGGAGTCCTGGTTGGCAGGGTTGGTTGGATCTTCGACCACACCAATCAGATGCCAGCAAACAGCAACCAAGAAGTGGGTGGGTCCAGGTCCAGAGGAACCAATCCTCAACAGGTGCTTGCAGCGGGGATTTGCATACTGTTCAGAGAACTCCAGAACACAACTACTCTAAGGCAGCCAGCGGCGGCCGTAACACTCCTGTATATATGAATGATGATCAACACGATTTTTTAATATTTCTATAAGGAAATATTTTGGTAATGGGTAACACAGGTGTGCTAGGATGAGCTTAGGGAGGACAGAAACCTCCCATGGAGAAAAAGGGCAAATGCTTGCTCGATCTTTATTTTCAATATGAATAGGCCTATATGATAGAAAAATTGCAACAAAAAATACCTACAATATTATAATAATAATAACAATAACAATAATAATAGGGTAATTATTATAATATGTAATAATTATTCTTAAAATGTCATCACCTTTTGAGTTCTTCAACTTTTATGTAGCCTATGTAGCACGTAGAGCCATATATGCATTAATTATTTCTTTCAAGGAGATACATACCAATCTGTAAACATAGGCTGCTTTTATCCTTTGTCAGCCTATTTGCTTAGGCCAACTTTGTGATTTTTGCATGCTTGCAATTGTAGCCCAATTACTTCACTACTCCACTCGAAATGCTTGCATTATTAGATTATTTAATACTCGCTGTTTTACAAGACGTTCATATGCTCATCCTCTGAAGCAGGGGTTTTCAAAGTGTGAGGCGGGCCTCACTGGGGGGGCTCCAAACAGTTTCAGTGGAGGCTCAGTGAATAGAAGTGAAACAATATTGCATTAGTTATCAAAAGGAGATCACAGAATAGCCTACATGTGTGAGAGTTCAGAGATGCAGTAGGTTTTGGAAACTGTTTTTTCCATCAGAGTCAGAAACTAATAAATACATTAGGACTTTTTTTATATACAGTCTATGTTTAGGACAGACCTTTTTTAAAACTATTTGGTGTAGTCTGAAGTTATGTCAAACAGCAATATTAGGCTATTTTGGCTCAAATGTTGAGTGTCTATGGGATCAAACAATGTAATCATGATCCAGGAATTGAGCAAAACTTACCAAGTAAACTAAAGACGTGGTGTGGGTCGGCGTTTCCCAAGCTTTGTCTGAGGGGAGGCCCGCAGTCTCAGACTTTGAAAACCGCTGCCCTAAAGTCTGCTGATATGCGCTCCATATCAGATATCCTTTCTGTATCCAGGTAGAAATATTTAATTTGATTTGTCCCAGAGGTTTGCAAGTAGTCAATACACATCATAAAACAAGTAAATAAATAGAAGACACGAGTACATATAACATATTACAGATGTTATCAACAAATAGTAAAGTTACCATAAGATGTAGAGCACAGTGTGTCCATCAGTCCTGTATTAGTGAAGGTGTGCAACAGCACTGAGGTCTACAGGTGTTTTAAAAACCCAACAGCTGACAGGACAAATTATCTCAAATATCTGTTTGATTTGGCCCTCGTAGTGAAAGTGCACTTCCTCCTTGATGGCAGAAGTCAAAGTTTTGCAAGGAGAGGGTGTCAAGGATCCACCAAAAAGACCTTTGCCTTTTGAGTGGCTCTCACTTGGATGGCATGGTCAAGATCATTCAAGTTAGTCCCAGTAGTCTTTTGGCAAAGTTTAACAATCTTTCACAGCCTATTTTTGTTAACAATACTGAGATTGCTCAACTAACAGATTGTTCAAGTTAAAGTCAAAATTGACTCAATAAAAGATTTCAGTCAGGACAACTTTTCGGCATTGTAGTTATGTTTGGCGGTATGGCTCTGTTCTGGGATGTCCCTGCCCATCCAGGTGCATACATTGAAGGCTCGAGGCAGGGAGCAGCAGTAAGGACCCCCCAATGCCCACTGACAAACTTACTCGGCCTTCTTTGCGCTTACATGAAAGTGCCAGCAGCAGGACCCAAGTGAACCCTTATTAAAGCAAGTTACTCTAAATAAGATGAAGTGAGGCCATTGCATAATAAGTGGTCTTAAGACCGGTCTTAAGACCACTTCTTGATGGTCTTGGTCTCGTCTCGGACTCGGCCGCCTTTGTACTCGGTCTTTTCTCGGTCTCGGACATTGAGGAATCGGAATTTTATTTCAAGACCAGTCAAGACCATAACTTTGGGGATATGAAGAAATTGCTTTTACATTGTCTGATTTGTTAAAATCCTAACTTTGATTGGAAGTAAAACTTATTGCTTCAAAAGCAACCAATAACCCTAATTAAACATGTGTTGTTCCCGTTAACGACAGCTGTCACCCCTCCTCGCAATGCTTACGTTGATTTCAGCTCTTAGTGTTTGTATGCGGGTGTTTTAATGGGAAAGTGGATCTTTCAGATCACTTTGAGAAGTACCTATGATCTCATTCCACATTTTATTGCGTGCCATGCAATGCAGGGAACTGGTCTTGGTCTTGACTCGGTCTTGCCCTCCCTCGGTCTTGGTCTTGACTGCTCTCAGCCCCTAAAAGTCTCGTACCTTGTCTCGGTTGCGATGAACTCTGGTCTTGGTCTTGACTTGGTCTCGGTTTGGGCGGTCGTGACTACAACACTGGCTAACAGATACGGGGCACTCATGGTCCTTGAGCATCGAGGATGGCTTGATTCTTGGGCTCTGTAATCTAATATATATGACAACAAAAGTAAACTACATGTGTAGTGTAGGAAAGTAGCTAAAGAGTGAGCTATGTGGTTTCCTTCTCATCTTGAGAATGCGCTGTACCGATCACCACCAATCAAGGCCCGACATAACTGTCCGACCTGCAGCCTCGCCGCTCCTCTGTGTGTCTGCAGAGGGA